TTTCTGATTCACAAAAGCCTAATACGTAATCTGCGCTTGGTTCTGTGCACTACCACTTTTCCCAACATGAGTTTGAAGCTTTCCTTTCTTTTTCCAGTTTGAGAACCCTCTATCAATAAAATAATCACCCCCCACCATGTTCTTCACGATTTGGATTGAAAAGGTAACAATAAAAGAAAAATAGGGCATCTTTTGCTATGCTGTATTCCAACCAATAAAGAAAGTCATTAAACCAAGAAGTTTTAAATCGTCTTAACGACAAATCTCCAAATTGTTTTTGTGGACACAAGTGATTTCGAGGCTGACATGGACCCCTTTGTACATATACTCTTCTAATTTCATCCTGAACATTAATATTCTAACTCACAATTGGAGTTTTTAATCCAGGATCCGAAAGCAGTTGTGTTAAATCAATTTTATCCTAAACATCTCTTTTTCTCCCAGTATCTGATTCTTCCAGACCATCTTTTTCTTTTTGAACACTTGTTTCAACAATAATTTCCTCAACACTCGAACATACGGATTTTCGTTTAAAATATTTCTCGATGCCTGTTAAAAAAAAATTCAATACATAAATAAACTAATAAATACCATATTTCATTTTTCATCAAAAAATAACATTAAATTCATAATAAACAACAATTACTTTCACAAACAATTTTATTTTAAATCTCCAAGTTAGACAAACTGACAAAGCCAATACTTACTGAGACTGAGTTACTTTACTACTCTACTACAATATTTCCAATTTCTCAAATCCAAACTAGTGAACTATCAACTACCAAATTCCAAATACATTTTAGAAATTAGAAGAATCAATAACTAATATGCACGAATTAGCTTCAATTCAATTGAAAATCTAATACCTAAATTAATTGAAAAATGGATTGAAGATGAGAGACGAATTCACAGTGCGTAGGTAGCGTGCGTATGGGAAAATTAGTGATTTCATATTTTTGAATGGGGGGATATCAAAGTTACTGAGTCATAGTATATTAGTTGGGTTGGGTCAATTAATGAATTATGGATTAATGGGTTGGTATAGAGTGTAATTGGACTTGGGTTTGTGAGTTGTGGATTGGGCTGCTCTTGGACTTGGGTAAGTGGTGGGGTCATTTGACCCCATGTGGGTCCGCCACTGGTCATTATGACCATTTGAGCATGTTGATGGAGAGTTTTCTGAGGTCTAAAGAATACTAGAATGTAGTTAAGTCTGGTGTAGCACTCATGAAGGTGCAAAAAACAGAGTTAGAAGGACTAAATTTGAGGGATTTGAAGGCAAATAATTATTTGTTCTAGGCTATTGATCAATCCATACTTGAAACAATTCTTAGCGAGGAAAGTTTGAAGCAGATATGGGACTCCATGAAAAGAAATTCTAGAGTTCAACAAGGGCCAAAAGGCAACTACTTCAAGTAATGCATATAGAATCTGAAATGCTTCAAATGCAATTGGGAGAGTCTATTTCCAATTCAAGAACTATGGCAATTATGAACAAGATGTGGGTACATGATGAGCAGATAGAGGACGTGACAATAATTGAGAAAATCTTCTGATCGATGACGCCGATGTTCTAATTAAGTGGTGTGTTCAATTGAAGAGTCAAAGGACCTTGATCAACTTTCAATTGATGAACTTCAAGGTTCATGAGCAAAAGTTAATCCAACAGGACCAAGAGAAGCAAGCCTTGAAGGCTTCCATCAACAATCCATCTTCAACACCAAGTAGAGGAGACCGATGAAAAGGAAGAGGTCATTGGAACAAGGATTGTAAGAACCCGTATCAAAATTCTAAAGATTGTGATTCTCATGGGAAAGAAAGAGGTCGAGGTGGCAACCATGCACATTCTAGTAAACCAAAGTAAGTAGACAAATCCCAACTTGAGTGCTACAGATGTTATAAGTACGGTAATTATTGATCAGAATGTTGTACAAATCTATTTAGAGGACGTGGTGAACAATCTCACTATGTAGAGAAGGAAGAAGAAATCTCTCTATTAATGGCTTGTAATGCCCATGAGAGAGCCAATTAAAATCAGTGGTATTTAGACACGGGTTGCAGCAATCATATGTGCGGCAACATTTCTGCATTCTCGAAGTTCGATGAGTCCTTTCATGATACTAGGAAATTCGGGACAATTCTAAAGTTTCTATTATGGGGAAGGGAAAGGTAACAATTCGAACCAAATAAATGTTTTTTCAAGGTATTGTTGATGTGCGATTTGTTCCAGATTTGAAAAAAACTACAAGAGAGGGGGTATGAAGTCTCTATCAAATGAGGAATTTGCATAATATTAGATGAAAAATTGGGCTTAATTGCTCAAATCAGTATGACTGCAAATCAATTGTTTCCGCTTTATCTCAATGACACTTCACATTCATGCTTTTCTGTGAGGCTAAGGGAAGAGGCGTGGTTATGGCATTTTCGTTATGGACGTCCAAATTTTAGCAGGTTAAAGGCTCTATAACAAAAGAATATGATGGAGGGACTACTACAAATTGTTTTATCTTCTCAAGTTTGTGAAGAGTGTGTCGTTAACAAACAACATTGCAATTAGTTTCCAAAAGAAAAATCCCATGGAGCTAAGAAAGTGCATGAAATAATGCATTCTAACATGTGTGGGCTAATCACTCCAATGTTAATGGAGGTAAACAATATTTTATATTGTTCATCGATGATTTTAGAAGAAAAATCTAGGTTTACTTTTTGCATGAAAAATCTGAAGCTTTCACAGCTTTCAAAAGTTTCAAAGCACAAGTTGAAAAGGATGCAAGTACATCAATAAAAGTATTGTACATTGATCATGGTGGACAATACAGCTCAAATTATTTTGATGAATTTTGTGACGAGCAAGGAATATGAAGATAGCTGACTGCAGCCTATACACCACAACAGAATAGTGTTAGTGAGAGGAAAAATCGTATAATCTTAAACATGGTACGAAGTGATTTGACAAGAAGTAGAATTCCAAAAAAGTTTATGGCTTGAAGCAGTGAATTGGAGCTCTCATGTATTGAATAGAAGTCCAACTCTTGCTGTTCACATTATGACATTAGAAGAAGCATGGAATGGCCGTAGACCGACTATGGAACACTTCAAAATTTTTGGGTGTATTGCTTATGCCCATATCCCAGATGTAAAGAGGAGAAGCTTGATGATAAAGGAGAAAAGTGTATTTTTCTTGGTGTTAATGATTATTCAAAAGCTTATAAATTGTATAATCTTATCCCCAAAAAAATTGTAGTTAGTCGTGATGTCTTTTTCAATGAAGAAAGTACTTGATCATGGAACTTTAATATCATTGGACAACAAATCCTAGCAGATTTTGATGATAAAGATAAATGAGAAAGGCACCAAAAACTACAACAGCAAATTACAACAGTTTCTATACCTGAGAACTCACCAAATGAAGCTTCTGTTGAAAATGGTTTGCTGACTTTTGATGGAAGCCCAAATCATGTTTTGTTTCTCTGACCCAAGTCCTTTTAGGCCCATATTGGGATCTAACAAAGGAAGAATCTAGAATGGTGAAAATCTATTACTTCAAGGACCTTTTCTACAACTAAGTTGTAGACTTTTCATTTTAGGTTGAGAGACTTTTCATTGTAGTATGCATCAGCTTTCTTCTTCCTTACATTTTCTCTCCTTAAATTGATCTCCATTTTTCTTTTGTGAATTTTTGTGAGATAGGAGAGTAGAGTGATGAACTTTTGTGTAAGTTCATAAGTATTGTTGAAGGATTGTGTGATTTTCTGCTGTTTTGTGGGCATGTACTGTAACTCGACATTTTGCCCTTTTTGGGGCGGTTTTTAGTGGATTTGAGCTTAATCCTGACGGATACTTAACGGGGATTAGATATTAGAAGTGGTCGCCGAACCTCGGGGCCTTTGGGCCGAAAATTCTTGTGTTGATTCTTGATATTTTTGTTGATTTCTTTCTTGTTTTTCTTTACAAATCGAAACCATAAACTCGTTCGGGACCAACAGTGGTATCAGAGCATAGGAGAAAATTTTGTCTGTCGATTTGAGTTACTATTTTTTAGATCTATTTTCGTTTTCCGTGTTAGAGTTTGAGAAATTTTTGGTTTTCGAACACGAATTATTTTTGGGTTGTTAAGACTGTGGATCTTGAAAATCTTTGTTACTAAATTCCATTACTCGGTTGTGACTCGTTTTTGATTTGTTGTTTGTACACTGAGTTCTTGTAAATCGGTATAACTCGTACTGAGTTTGACGAGTAGGGTTGAGTCACATTGAGTCATACCGAGTTTACACTGAGTCACACTGAGTCTGCCATAGCCAGTTTACACGAGTCCCTTTTCTTACTGTTGAGTATCATAGTACATATAACTGATTTTTTTTTTAAAAATATTTTGGTATCAATGTTTCTCTTTAAAATTTGGTTTTTGAGAATCTCCTCTAACTCTACCTTTGTCTAGGGGTCCCTGTGAGAACTCTAGAATATGAGGGGATTAGGGCTTCGATTCAAGAAACCAATTCTTTTTCAAAAGTTTTTGAAAAACGTTTTTTTTTTTGCAACAGTGTAGATACTGAGATATACCAAAATTCTTTAATCCTATTTTGACTCCTTAGATATACTGTTGACTTGCAATAACATTTGAATTGATCTGTTCAAGGGTTGAGATTACCATTTTTAAAATTTTTCTTCGCTGGAGGTACATTTTTCTAAACCCCCTTCTGCTTACTGTGTGTGAGCATAATTGTATAATTGTATAGCCTTATAAAATTGGATTATCTGACATTGTTGACTGTGATATATCTTTGGCTATATCATCTCTGTACCTGATCACACTACTGCACACGATGACTTATAAAGTAGATGTCCAAATTTGGGATGGCAAAGGAGACTTTAGTATCCGGCGCCAGAAAATTAAGGCCCTTATGTTACAGTTAAAGTGTGCAAAGGCCATTGATGAATCTTGGTCAGTAACCCTATCTCAAGATAGGAAAACTGAACTAGATAAGTTGGCATAGAGCACTATGTTTCTGTACTTATCAGATTATGTGATTAGGAAAGTAGGAGAAACCAAGACTGTTGTAGAACTTTGGACTGCTTTAGAAAAACAGTACCTCAATAAGTCTCTACCAAATAAATGTTTTCTCTGGATACTCTTCTTTAGTTTTAAGTTTGATCCTAGTCTTAATACTGAAGAAAATATGGATAGATTTAATAGGATCACACAAGACTTAACAAATTGTGGGGAGAAGATCTCTGATGACCAGAAGGTAGTTGGTCTACTTAATGCTCTAGGAGATAAATATAAAGATATAAGAAATGCTCTAGAGTATGGTAAGAGTGATCTTACTATTGAAATAATTCATAATTCTCTTCTAACCGAAGAACTGGGATTGAAATCTGAATACAAAGAGGCGTTCCATGTTGAGGGTATGAGAAGAAATCAGAAATCCTACACTAAGGGTGTGAATAATTTTAGTCATTCCAATTTCAACAAGGATAAAAAATTTGTCAAAAGAAAATGGAATAATACTAAAGGAAATGACAAAAAACCCAATAAAGGAAATGACAATAACAAGATATGTTTCTACTGTGGTAGAACTGTGCACTTTATTAAAGATTGCTTTAAAAGGGCCAATGACTAGAAGAATGAGTCTAATACTAGAAATGCTTTTCTTGCTACCGCTTCCAACTATAAAGAAGCAAGAGTAAATATTGGGGTTATCTATGTGTCTTTATCTGAAAGTACTGAATAGGACTGGGTCTTAGACTTAGGCCGTTCCTTCCATATGACACCCAATGTTGACAATCTATCTGACTATTCTGACCTTGATGAAGGATCAGTTAAACTTGGGAATGATGAGGTGTATCATGTTAAAGGAATTGACAATGTGTTCTTGAAATTCAAAAATGGTCATCACCTACTATTAAAACACACTAGATATAGCATAAAAGCTTGGCCAATTGAGTGAAAAAGGCCTAAAAACTTTGTTAAGTCAAAGGGTATTTGGAAAGGACAGTGTTCAAAAACTAACTTTCTGTGAAAACTGCATTATGGGAAAACAAGCCAGACTGCCTTTTAAGGTAGGGCTGCATAAATCCCAAGATATTCTTGAATACATACATTATGATTTATGAGGACCTGCCCTTATACCTACTGTGTCTCGTTTTAGATATTATCTTCTTATTATTGATGATTTTTCAATGAAAACATAGATTTTCTTACTAAAATCTAAATTTCATACGTTTTCAACTTTCAAAGAATGGAATTTATTGATTGAAAATCAGACTAATAAGAAGATAAAAATTTTAAGAACTGACAATGGACTTGAATTCTACAATTTAGATTTTGATTAATATTGTTCTAAATAAGGGATATTGAGACATAAAACGGTCAGCTATACTTCTCAGCAAAATGGAGTTGCTGATAGATTTTGATTAATATTGTTCTAAATAAGGGATATTGAGACATAAAACGGTCAGCTATACTTCTCAGCAAAATGGAGTTGCTGCGAGATTAAATAGAACCATTCTTGAGAGGACTAGATGCATGTTAATCAGTTCCGGTCTTCCAAAAATCTTTTGGGGAGAGGCTGTAAAAACAGCTTGTTATCTCATAAATAGATGTCCTTCCAGCTTTCTAAACAATAGAATTCCTGAACAAATATGGTCTGGTATATTACCAGACTACTCATACCTCAGAACCTTTGGCTGTGCAGCATATGCACATCATACAGATTCAAAATTGGACCTTAGATCATTGAAGGGTGTGTGCTTAGGTTATGGAGAAGGAATTAAAGGTTATAAACTATGGTTAAGGGATGTGAGAGGTTGTAAAATGATTACAAGTAGATCTGTGATCTTTAATGAAGGTGATTTTCCTTGTCTTAGTGACAAATCTGGTGAAAAGATAGGAAAAAGATGACTTTATAATAACTGAAATAAATTTAAATAGAGAGGCTAGTAATGATTCAGTTTGAGGTGGAGCCACATGAGGTGGAACCACAGAATGCCTCTGATGTTGAAATTATAGAAGATTACCAGCATCTGGAGCCTGCAAATGATTTGCAGGACTACCAGCTTGCTAAGGACAGAGAAATGAGAGAAATAAGGCCTCCTTCCAGGTATCAGTATGCTGATTTTGTGACTGAACAATCTGAACCTAATCTGTTTGATACAGAACCAGTTTTTTATGATGAAGCTGTCTCTTGCAAAGAATCGCCTAAGTGTATTGATGCAATTGAAGATGAAATGAACTCCCTTTATAAAAATCAGACTTGGATTTTAGTTGAAAAACCCATAGAATGCAAAGTGATTGATTGTAAATGGGTATATAAGATCAAAGAGGGTGACGATAAGACAAATAGAAGGTATAAGGCCAGACTTGTAGTAAAGGGGTTTACACAAAGGGAAGAGATTGACTACACTGAGGTTTTTTCACATATTGTCAAATATACCTCTATTAGGGTTTTACTTGCTATTGTGACATAATTTGACTTAGAGTTAGAACAACTTGATGTGAAGACTGCCTTCTAGTATGGTTCTTTAGACGAAACCATATACATGACTCAACCAAGAGCGTTTGAGGTTAAAGATAAAGAGAACTATGTGTGTCTCTTGAAAAAATCTTTGTATAGCCTAAAGCAGGCTCCTAGGCAATGGTATAAAAGGTTTGACTCCTTTATACAAGGGTTAGACTTTAAGAAATCTTATTATGATTCCTGTTTTTACTTTAAGAGAGATGGAGAATTTGAATCTTTTTATCTACTCTTGTATGTTGATGATATGCTTCTTACTGGTCATAGTTCTATTACTCTTAACATGATTAAAGAGAAGTTGAAATCTAAATTTGAAATAAAAGATTTAGGACTAGTTAAGAAAATATTGGCCATGAAAATTAAAAGAGATAGAATAAATGAGAAGTTGTTTCTAACACAAATGTCTTATGTTGAAAAGGTAGTTAAACGATTTTCTCTTCATGTTGCTAAGCCTGTTAGCCTGCCTTTGTCTAGTAGTATGAAACTATCTATTGATCAATCACCTAAATCTGAAAATGAACATAAAAGAATGATGAATGTGCCATATTCTAATGCTGTTGGATTTGTGATGTATGTGATGGTATGCTCTAGACCTGATATTGCTTATGCTATGAGTGTGCTAAGCAGATTTATAAGTAATCCAGGTGAATTACATTGGCAATGCATGGAAATTTTGATTAAATATCTGAAAGGAACAAGTCAATTAGGTTTAATGTTCAAAACTGATAAAAATGGACTTAAACTAAAAGGTTATGTAGATTCTGATTATGCTGGGAATCCAGACAATATGAAATCTACAACTGCATATTTTTATGTCATGAATGATACATGCATTAGCTGAAAATCACAATTACAAAAGGTAGTTGCATTGTCTTCAACCGAGGCTGAATACATTGCAGCCACTGAGGCTGTAAGGAAAGGGCTATGGTTGAAAGGCCTACTAGAGATGTTAAATTCAACCTAGTTTTTCATGATAGATCCAAACATATAGATGTTAAATTTAATTTTATTAGAGATATAATTGATAGGGGTGATATCAAGTTGGTAAAAATACCAACTCGGGTAAATCCTGTAGATGCAGGAACCAAGGTAATACCTATAAATAAGTTCTTAGATTCCTTAAGATTATTGAATCGTGAAGAAAACTAATTTTTTATTTTTGTACAGGTAAAAGAGCAAATGAAGTTTTGGTCTAAATTTAAATCCACAAAGTACCTTCTCAAAATGCAGCAAAAGGTGGAGATTGTTGAAAATGGTTTGCTGACTTTTGATGGAAGCCCAAATCATGTTTTGTTTCTCTGGCCCAAGTCCTTTTAGGCCCATATCCGAATCTAACAAAGGAAGAATCTAGAATGGTGAAAATCTATTACTTCAAGGGCCTTTCTACAATTAAGTTGTAGACTTTTCATTTTAGGTTGAGAGACTTTTCATTTTCTCTCTGTAGTACACAACAACTTTTTTCTTCCTTACATTTTCTCTTTGTAAATTGATCTCCATTTTTCTTATGTGAATTTTTGTGAGATAGGAGAGTAGAGTGATAAACTCTTATGTGAGTCCATGAGTATTGTTAAAGGATTGTGTGATTTTCTGCTATTTTGTGGGCATGTACTGTAACTCGACATTTTGCCTATTTTTGGGTGGTTTCTAGTGGATTTGAGCTTATTCCTTATGAAAGCTCAACGGGGATTAGGCGTTAGAAGTGGTCGCCGAACCTCGGAGCCTTTGGGCCAAAAATTCTTGTGTTGATTCTTGATATTTTTGTTGATTTCTTTCTTGTTTTTCTTTACAAATCGAAACCATAAACTCGGTCAGGACCAACAGCTTCTATAGCTGTTGAAACTTTACCAATAGCAACCGAATCTAATGAATATATTGATGCACCAGCAAGTTCATATCCCCAACGTGTTAGAAAAAGTCCCTCATGGATGCAAGATTATGAGGTAACCGGTGCTAACATATCCAGTAACTCTCTTACATATTATGCTCTTTTTTAGATACTGTGATCCCACAACATTTGAAGCTGCTGCGAAATAACTGAAATGGCGTAAGGCCATGGATAATGAAGTTGTAGCTATAAAAAGGAATCACACTTGGGAGTTGACGAATCTTACAAAAGGGTAGAAAACAATTGGTGTCAAATGGGTTTACAAGACAAAGTTGAATGAGAATAAGTATATGGCGCGTCTAGTAGCTTAAGGATACAAGCAAGAGTTTGGTGTGGATTACAAAGAGATTTTTGTTCCTGTCACAAGATATGATACAATCAGAATAATGATGGCATTAGCAGCCCAAAACTCATTGCTATCTTTTAGTTGGACATTAAATCGATATTCTTACATGATGATTTGGAAGAACAAGTATTCATCAACCAACCTCTTGGTTATATTCAGATTAGAAGTGACTATAAAGTGTATAAATTAAAAAAGGTCCTATATGGACCGAACCAAGTTCCACGGGCTTGGTATAGTGATATAGAAGTTTATTTTTTGAAGGAAGATTTAAGAAGTGTCCATATGAATATACGCTTTAGGTTAAAACTAGATATGGAAGAAAGATACTTATTTTGTGCTTATACGTAGATGATATTATATTTACTGGAAATTATAGTGTCATGTTCGATTATTTCAAGAAATCTATGATGGGAGAGCTTGGTGTGTCTGATCATGGAAACATGCATTATTTTCTTAGTATTAAAGTGGAGCAATCTACTAATGGCACATTTATCTCTCAAAAGACGTAGGTGAAAGAAATTTTAGATAGGTTTGGAATGAAGAATTGTAAACCCATGAATACACCAATAGACGTGGATTAAAGCTAACCAAGGATAATGAAGGAAAAAAACTTGATAATACTCTTTACAAGAAAATTGTAAGGAGTTTGATGTGTTTGACAGCAACAAGAAACATAATGTACTTTGTTAGTCTCATTAGTAGATACATGGAGAATCCAAATGAAATGCATCTTCTCGCTACAAAGAGGATATTTTGTTATTTGCAAGGAACAATAGACTTCGGTTTACTCTACCATAAAGGGAAGCCAAAAGGTTTGGTAGGCTTCATTGATAGTGATTTTGCAGTGGATCAAGGTAATAGAAGAAGCACATCAGGATATGCCTTTATGTTGGGTTTAGGGGTTGCTCCATGGTCTTCTAAGAAGCAGCCAATAGTTACACTATCAACTACTAAAGTTGAATTCATTGCGTCAATCTCGTGTACATGTCAAGCTATTTTTTTAAGAAAAATTCTTGAAGAGATGCATATCAAGCAAGAGAAAGCCACTACAATTTAATGTGACAATAGTTTAGCGATAAAGCTCTCCAAAAATCCAGTTCTGCATGGGCGAAGTAGGCATATAGATGTGAAGTATCATTACTGGAGGGATCTCACAAACGATATTGTCATTAATCTAATCTATTGTAGAAGTGAAGATCAGATTGCCAATATTTTAACTAAGCCCCTGAAATTTCCTACATTCCAGAGCTTTCGGAGGCAGGTTGGTATTTGATCAAATCTGAAGGATGGTAAAGTCAATGTTATATCTGGAACATCAATTTAAGGGAGGAATTGTTTAAAGTATTAATTAATTAATTTAAGTTATATGTTAGTTAAAAGGATTTTGTTTATCATGATTTTATGATTTTCTATGTGTCCCTAGTCTATAGGAAAGTTTGTTTTTGCATGTTGTGTAGTTGCTAGTTTATTACTAATAACTGTTGGTGTACTTGCCTATGTATAGGCAGTTGATTAATGAATAAAGTTATTAACGCGGTACTTTCCTTTTATTTTTATTGCTTTATCAGTCTTTATATAAAAAGCTCTACTTTATAATATTTCTATCTTCATTCTTGTTGTGGATAATTGGTTCAGATGCAAAGTTGAGTTCCATGCATTCTTGAACCCTTGCTTCCAACATTCTTTGGTATTCTTTAAAGTATAGACTGCATTGACGAGTGGCAATAAAATAAATCCCCTGAATCTCAAAATCCAAGAGTAGATGATGAAATATTTGTGGGTACTCATATTTATATACTCATCCTGTCGTTATGAAACCTCTATTGAACCTTAACTTAAATCTTTTCCTCAGTAAAACTTGTGCTATTAGATCTTAGGCCCTGTTTGATTTAACTTTCTTTTTCATGGAAGATGGAAATTAAATTTCATTTCAACCTTTTTGCATGTTTCATTTAGGCAACTTTTTTTTTAAAAAAAAATTTTGGCGATGGAAACAAATTTTATCCCTTTAATGGACAATTTCTATTAAAAACAAAGTCAAACGAATACTAAAAGATCCAAAATTTCAATATTTTTCAGGTGAAAAATTATACCAATCAAACACAATTAATTGACAATTCTCAATAAAATAAATTCTAGGCAATTCAATTCCCTAAAATTCATTTTCTTTCCACCCAATTTCATTCTTGCAATCAAACGGACCCTTAGATAACTGTTGGGGTTAACATCTAAAAGTTATGAGCTAATGAGATGACTTGATTTGATAAAAACTTTCCAAGCATATAGACATGGAAAACATCTAGAATTGTGGTTAACTCTAGAGTAGGGCTAGTTGATAAGCGGAGTTGCCAACTTCTCCACAAATTTTCTAGGGATTTATGAATCTTAGGTTGAGATTGACTGCCAATATTTTTTTATGAAAATGTGTTTTTTTTCCACTTAATTTCCTACTTTTATGTTGTTTGATTAACAATTTGTTTCATGGAAAATATTTACCTACTCTTGGTCACGTGACCGTATTTTTCTTGAAAATAAGGAAAGTATTTTCTTTGGGGAGATATGATTTTTATTTTCTGGGTAATTCACTATCTCTTTCTCTCTCTCATCTATCTCATTTCTCTTATTTACCTACCAATAAAAAATAGACAAGTATAATATTTTTTAGGTTAAAAACTAAATCAATCAAATACATTTAATTAACAATTTTCATACAAATAAGTTATAGGCAATTGAATTGTCTAGAATTTATTTTATTTCCATGGAAATTCCATCATTGCAATCGAACGCACCCTTAGTGGAATTAATTTTCCTAGCCAAGTTATATATTGGTTTCCATTGACCTTGTATAGGAACTTCTAAAAGTTTTATGCAAACCTTTGTTATCAATTCGATACCACGAAAACTGATAATCTATAGAGCCTATCACTTTCCTTAACATATAAATCAACTGATAAAAAAGAGTCATTACCACTGATAGGAAGTGAGTTGACTTGATTAATCTATTGAGTATGACCCAAATTGCATTATTTCGTGTAAATTTCTTTGGAAGGACGCACTACAACAACGTTGTAATATGCTTTTGATTCTACTCTCTAACTTGTAGATGAATTAAAGGTTCTAAAACTCGTAGATGCTCTACCTTCATTTATTGACATATTAGGCACCTCTAAACAAATTTAGCTGTCTGCCTTCGTGTTCATCCTCAAATATGTTTCTTTTAATTCTTGTATACCTTGGTACTCCTGGGGTGAGCCGAGTATGGTGTAAAATGTGCATCTTCTAACATTTCACTCTTCTTGTTAACACTAAGTACTGTAAAATAAAAAGATGAGAGAATGTTTCTTATTGTTCCATCAAGCTGAGACTGACTTAAATAGCCTTGCATGAAGTAAATAGAAGTAGAAAAATCTGCACCAACTAATCTCACGTCTAACAGACCTAGAGAAGTGGGATATTCCTAAAGAATAAATAAAATACAACAATTTTCCAAACAAATATGGATTATTAATAGAAATTTAAACAGAGAATAAATATTTAACATCCTCTCTTAAATTGAATGACATTCAAGCAATCAGATTATAAAGAAATTGAGCAAACCCCAAGTAGGCCA